GTTTGTTTAAAAATTGTTTTTTCTTGCAATGTCAGCGTGGAATATTTTTGTTTTCTTTATTAATGAAGACTTCACTTAACTTAACTACAGTCATTAGCCAGGTAGTATGAAAAACCAGCAACTTATCTCTCTTGATGCTTTTTATTTAAACTTTGATGTGAATAAAGTATCACTTGTGAGGCTTCTGTTAGAAGGAATCTAGTGGCAGTGTGTGCTTTGTTCAGCTCAGCAGTTATTCCGTTGGCATTCATTTAGACAGATCATTACAGCAGTAATAGGGACTTGAGTCTAGCGAACCTTTGACGGATTGTTTGTTATCTTATCCCCCCCCCTCTTTGAAAGTGGTCTGTTCCACAGCTAATCAAGTTCAAAGGGCTGACGTCACTAGATTTCCTGGAATCATGTTTCAGTGGCGGAGCTGGAAAACTTAAACTCCACAAACAACACCTACATTGACGTCAGCCGCAAGTCATGCTGTGATTTAGTCAGTTCCTTTCTGCTTCAGCTAGAACTGCTGGCACGTTTTATAGTGTTATTCTGTAGCCCATGCTCCTGATCTCTTGAGCTAAGTAAATCTGGTTTGTGTGTTTTGTGTTATTTATCCCACTGCTCTCAGCTATTCCTAAAGACCTCGGGTTGGTTGAGCAAAGAACTAGGAGCTGCGCAACAGGCTTTTGAGAAAAGTTTATAATCCTTCTGGTAAGATACTGCCTTAGAAGAGGGAGGAGAAAGAAAGGGGTGTAACAGTATTCTTCCTAATATGTAGTCAGTCAAGTTCTGCTCTGCAGAAAAATCTTTAGAATTGATCTGTGATGTAAAGCTTCATATAACTTTTGAATAGGCTCCTTGTCTGTCTGTGTCTTATAGAATAACACAAGCAGCATGTTTATTGTGGCATAAACTTCTCTAAAGTCCACCAATGAATTTGGCTGTTGTCTATTAAGGAAGCCCATGACAGCTTATCCTACCAACAAATTTGAGAGCTTTAAGGTGATTCAAAGTTCCTTGTTTCTTTTTTTCATACAAACCTGTCACTTTTGTAGAATATAATTGTTTAACCTCTTTAAAATAATTGTAATAATCTTAATTGTTTTCCTGGTTTAGACAGTGTCATCAATGCACCAAATTCATGAGCATGAATTTGGGCAAACTCTGGGAGATATTAGAGAATAGGGGACCTGGCACACTATGGTCCATGGAGTTGTGAAGAGTTGGACACAGCAATGGAATAACAACAAAAACAAATATTTTTCCATGACTTGATAAGTATAAATGTCATTGTAATATCTAAATAATAATTCATAATTTTTAATGACATCTATGCTGAAACAATAAAAAAATGTCATAAATATTGTAAGATAGCCATTTCGGTGGGGTGGGGGATCCACAATAATACATAATATTTTTATGGATGTACACAAAAAGTGTAAAAGCAGAATTCTATATGCCAAGCAAAGGAATAGAAAAGGAATAGGAGACAGTAAGAGTAAACAGGATATGAATAAAAAGTCTATCAAATTTGTAATATGTTCAGAAGTTAATAGAATTCAGTTTTTCAGTTTGACAGTGATGAACATCCTAAACATGGCAAAATCCATATTTGAAAATGATGGAATTGATAGTGTTTCGGATCAGATTTCTAGGATTATTGAAAATTTTAAAATAATTGCTAGGATTAAATTATGACTTTTCATCTGAGGTGCTGCAACATAAGTATCTAAATGTGTTCTCTACAAAAGGGTAAATCAATCATAAATATTTATTTAAAAGGTCAGTTTATATATATTATAAAGATTGCATATTCAAGAGGATGGAGAAGTATGATAGAAGGGATTGTACTATTCAGTATATGAATGACAACAGAAGATTATTTTGATATCTCTAATTGATAAAACATGGAATTATGATTATTTCAGCAAAAATGTTATTTTATGACTATTGGAAACATGAGTCTTTTTAGAAAATAAATTGTTAAGATACGTTCATCTAATTACTGGAGATATGAATTGGTCCATAAGATGTTGTCATATATGGTTGTTTATTCCCTTTTGGACAATGATTTTTTTCAGATACTAACTTTTTTGAAGGAATTGTTGATATTTGCAGATGCTCATGTTTATGATAAATAAAATACAAATATACAAATGATTTTTTTTAAAAAGAAGGGAAGTCACCTGATTTTAATCAATGATACAGTGACCTTTAGAACCAATACTCTTTTCTGTATTTAAATAAGCATTTAATCATTTTAGGGTTTTTTCCCATTTAAAACAAAATGCAAAAATTTAAAAATATAATGTACAGATGATGTACTCTGTACATATTAATTAGCTACTATAAAGTTCATGTGACTGTAAATCCCAATATCTCCCAAGCCAGCATGGTTATTAGCAAAATAATTTCAGGTTGCAGAAAAAACACTTGAACAATTATGGCAATAACCTCATACAATTGTTCTTGCTGTCTAAGTGTGTCTAAATCTCAGCTAAGGTGCCATAATATAAATATTTCAGGAATTTCATTTGTTCTACTTTTTTTACTTTTATGTATCTATTTCAGAAGTAGCTTTTAGCATGCAAGGATTAAAACATTACATTGTATTTTAATACTGAGTGGAGCAAAAGTTTCAGAGCCAGGTGAATGTCACTGAATATCTTTTCCTGGGTGAATTAAACTATCTTTAATTCTGTTTTTAATTCACTTCAAGAAGATATAATGTACAAGATTTTATCAATTTCTTTGAGTTGAATAAATCCCCACTACCAATTTAATTTGAAAGAAAGCTTGCTATTAGTTTGTTAATCCAGTAACCATGTAGACCTCACATCTCTTCATTCTGTAGATTTTTACCTATCAGAGTTGTTTCTTTTCCAAAAATTTTCATTCATCTGTTCAAACAAATATAAGGTGATATTCCATTTAGCAATAATTTACACACCTTACATTTGCTTACTATTTTTTTCTCAATCTCTGACAACAGTATTAACTTCCTTTTTTTGAAAACATGTTTTGAAAGTAGATTTTCATTTTTTCAGGGCAATGTGTATTGAGAATCTGTTTTTTTCCCCTTTAAAAAGTCCTTGGGACTATATGGGGCCCAAAATGCATTGTGGGAAATAAGGATGATGGAAGCTGGAGTCATTGCTTTGTTTTATCATACGTCCATTCATTTTCGTGAAGGAAAAGATAAATATAATTTTTGAAAGATTAAAAATAGCAAGTGGAGTTAGCGTCCTGGGCATAAAATGCGAAGACCTGTTTGGTAATTGATAAAATCCACTGTCCCTGATTTTCTTGTATTGTACATATTTCAAATTATGTATCGCTGAAGCCAATTATCAACAGTCAATTGACATGAAGTCACAGAAATGGCTTCATACTATTTGTTCTTGCATTATATGGAATATAATTTGGAAAGTGTGGCATCTTTGTTTAATTCAGGGGTCTGAGGCTGCTTCACAGATCTAGCTTCCCTTCCAGATGGCTATATGGACAGTCTATGAATTAAAGACTTGCCTTCATTCATTATGCAGGAAGATAGTCATTTCCCATTCTTCTATAATTTATATGCTGGTTTAAAGTACATCAGTTGGATTTTAGATTCTAAATAAAATTTGCATTTATACAATACAATAGCAGAGTTGGAAGGGACCTTGGAGGTCTTCTAGTGCAGCCCCCTGCCTAGGCAGGAAATCCTATACCATTTCAGACAAATGGCTATCCAACATCTTCTTAAAGACTTCCAGTGTTGTCTTAAGTCTTAAAGGCTTCCATTTGTCCTGTTGTGCACAAGCTTACAAAAAATTTCATAGATAGAAACTATTTGGTCTTATGATCAGACATGATTGCTGGTTTTGTTAGATGACTTTAGTGCCTAGGAGGAAATATTTGGTATGCTGATCAGCTCTTCTCCAGTTAAGGGTTGGCAGTGATAGTGGAGCTGGTAAAGGTCGGGAAGAATTGGAGGCACTTGGCATGTTTTTCAGGGCACCAGTACTCGATTCTTATTAAGGGGGGGGGGCAAAATCTGGTGGGACAGTACTCAATTTACTTATTTTTATAAAAAGTTGGCAGACTGCATAAGACTGCTTGGTGGGCCATATGCAGCCTGCAGGTTATTATGTTGTGTAAGCTTGAGTTAGAAAGGAAGAGTCAATTGAAGAAAAGTGTAAAAATCAGTTCAGAGGAAAGAAATGAGGGAAATGATATGCAAAATGATTCCTAAGAAAAAAGGCAGTATGCATTGGGTTTATATATCCTGGCAAAAGAATGAACGGATGGGGTCTGGTGGAGATGGGAAAATGAGTAGTAAAAAATAAAACTAAATGAGAAAGAGTTTTGATCGAATCATTCATGGAGACACATCTTAACACTAAGCCCTATTCAACCAAGAAATTAACTTACACTGTGGCAATGAGCTCTCATTATTGTTGGAGTCTAGATTCTGCAAATCAGAAGGGATGTGGAATAGCCCATGCTCAACTTTATTCTGCAGTTTTAGCTGGGTGCCTACATACGTAGCTTACTGTTTAGTTAGTGCTGAACTCTTCCTTTCTTTAAAATCATGTATTGTAATATTTGGGTACAATGAATGACTTCTATGCTTTCTCATTCTTTTGCATTTGCATGATATCATGCTTTGTATGGATTTCTTCTCTTCCTCTATTTCTTTAAGATTAAATTATTTCTTTGAAACAAAACAAAAGTGATGAGGAATGAAAAGATATTTTTCCTATGGCTTGCTTTTTCTTAATAGAATTTATTCAATAGAAGCACAGATAGGCTGCTTAATTCCCACCTGCCCTTTGATAAATATATTGTTTCCATTGTGATTTTCTGAGGACTGTTTTGTTAAAACATCCAAACATCCAAATAAAAACTGTACAAATCTTGATGCCAGATGCCATGGGAGAACATTTGTTATTTTTTGCTTGTTTGTTTTGATAATAAACGATGCCATTTTGCTTTGTATTATAATGTCTTCTTTTTTGAAATTGCAGCTGCTACAGGTGACATGCCAACTTACCAAATCCGTACTCCAACCACAGCCTTACCTCAAGGAGTCGTCATGGCAGCTTCCCCAGGAACACTGCATAACCCGCAGCAGCTAGCAGAAGAAGCAACGCGTAAAAGAGAACTAAGGCTTATGAAAAACAGGTACCAATTAGAATTCAAGTTAATATTTATTTGTTTGTTTATTTGTTTGTTTATTTATTTATTTCCCAGAATCAGTGGTAAGGAAATAGTAATGCTAAAAAGACTAGCACAGTACTTTACTATATCATACTATACACATTTTCCACTCAGAAAGTCTATTGTATTAATAAGAATAAAAGATTTTTCTCACACAGAGAAACAGATTACAGTAGCATGCATATGGTTGCATGTCCTAATGTAGGTAATTCTCATTTATTGACAATAATTGGGACTGTGAATGCCATTGTTAAAGGATGGTAGTGCTGATTTCTAGTGGAAGTTCCAAAAGTCCTGATTACTATGTTAGGCGAATCTTACACAGTTGCAGTGTACCATGGCCACAAGATTACTATTTGTGACCTTCTGCAAGCTTGTCAGTGGAGAAGCTGGCAGGATTGACATTGAATGTCACAATGGCAGTCGTGACTATGGGACTTTGCAGTGGCTACAACTATGAAGATTCACTGTAAGGATTCTTTGTTCAGTGCTACCTTAACTTCAGATAGTCGTGGAATGAGTAGATATTAAATTGAGAATGCTTATACCGTTTCCCTGAAAATAAGACCTCCCACATAATAAGCCCAATTGGGCTTTTGAGCGCATGCGCTGAAATAAGCTCTCTCCGAAAATATCGCAACACAGCAGCAGCCATGAGGTAACCACGCTTGCTGCCTCCTGCACCTCAAAAATAATAGGATCTCTCTGAAAATAAACACTTATTTTGGGGGTCAAAAGAAAATAAGACCCTGTCTTGTTTTTGGGGAACCACAGTATTTTAAATAATGCTTTATACATCTAATTTTTATGTGCACATTCACATGAGTATCATTTGCTTAAATAGCGCATTCTGTTTTGATTCAGTTTTACCAAAGCCTGTGATTTTGTAAACTTAATAGAATAGAAGAAGGGTAACGTTTTTTTTTTGCAGGTCTATATTTTATTGCAGAAAATAAATTCACTGTGGAATGCCCTCTTGTATTTTGTAGTAAACTGATTTTTAAGAGCTTGGGTGCGATTTTTAGGTTGCATTTCTCACTTTATTTACTAAATTTTGTACATTGTCCAGGCTAAATTATCCTTTTGTTTATTTACTTCCTGTGTGTGTGTTAGTATTAATGTTGTATTCATTGTCCGCTGCTAGTATTTGTGGATATTGTTGGCATGTGCTTTTCTGGAAGAAGCTGAACTCCTTTGTAACTAACCCTACTATTGCTTAATGTTTTCATGGTATTGCTTTTTCTCGTGCCTTTTAATTTCAAATTGCTAATCCAGAAATGTCTTAGTTTCCATCTCTTGTTCTTCTCTCTTCCGGTTGTCTGGTGTCTATCGTTAGTGGCAATTGAATAATATGTAGCAGCTTATTTTTATGACATTAAGTGCATAGTACCAAGTAGCCAACATTTTTGCTTAGTACTTGCAGATACTTTTCTCATTCATGTAATTTTTATTTAGCTTTCCTCTTATATATTTTAGCTTCCTCTATATTTTCTTTAAAATCCTGCCAAAGATCCTAGGGATCCTTTTAGATTAGTATTCCAGGAAAAGCACTATGAGAAATACTTACTTATAACAATGTACAAGGAAAAGGCTTTTGCAAGCTTTGTCTTTGTGAAAATTAAAGCAGGGAGGACTCCATAATTAAATTTGTAGCTTCAAGACAAATAAGTTCAGATGTATTAATGTCATCACAGTATTCCATCTCATTTATGGAATTTATATTGATTTTAAACATTTTTCTTCAATGCTTTAACAAAAAGTTCCATATGGGGGCCTTTACAAAGGCCTTAAAACAATAATGTATATGTAAAACATTATATAATTTAAAGAGGTAACCAATGATGATGGTTTGCTTCTTCATGTCCCACTCACAGGCTAGTGGTTTTAGACAACTAAAAGGTCTGAAATGAGATTAATGAACCACCAGCAACAAGCATAAAATTTTAAATAGTAGTTTAACTTCCCATTCATCCTTAATTATTATATTAAAGTTTAAGGCTTAAAGTATAAATAATATATATTGTATTCACTTTAAATATTATTATTGGTTTTGATAAAAAATTTGGGACAATTAACAAAACAGTTCAAACTAGCTGAAAAGAGAAGCTGAAATTTTCAAACTGAAGAGAGAAGGTACCATGTTTTCTTTGCCAACAGTTAATTTCTTAACATTTTGCAGGTATAATCTGAGATGACTGAACTACGTGTTTAAGCATGTGGGCTTAATATGGGCTATTATGCAAACAGACAATGTGGGGGCTGTAGATATTGAGCTGTTATTTTGATGCATGTTTTGTGATAGCTTCAGTTGCTTTTGTAAAGCCCTATCTCATAATCGATTTTAAAACAGCTTCCTCTCACTTCTGTGCTGTGCGGTGTCTTCTGTCTGGTGTCTTCTCTCTGTCTGTTCTGCATTGCGTTCAGAGCATTGTGGCCTGATTTTATGCTGTGACTGGTATACGGTGTACTTGATTTGGCATTACTAAGTCACTTCAGCTTTTCTGGTGTCAGAGGTTATCCTAGCTATCCAGGTTTTCTTTGCCTTGTAGCTGATTGAGCAGTCATTTGCCTTGTGTTGGTTCCAGGGAAGCCGCTCGAGAGTGCCGCAGGAAGAAGAAAGAATATGTCAAATGCCTTGAAAATCGCGTAGCTGTACTTGAAAACCAAAACAAGACTCTCATTGAGGAACTCAAGGCCCTCAAAGACCTTTATTGCCATAAAGCAGAGTAACTGGCATTTGGCCGTGGAACTTTTTACTATGAACAGTAATCAAGGCATGAGATGAAGCAATTCTACAGATTGCCAAGTGAACCTTAAGAAAGGGGCAGTGTGTGGTCTTTGTGATCTTGGCTTTTCTTAGGTCTTTTTTTCTAAAAAGATGTGTGATTTCTAATCTTTGGAAAGCATCACTGTCTCCATATTGAATTGACCTTGGTTACTGCACCATCCCCATCCTACCTTATGTCAGTAGCATGTCACAAAAGCTTTTCTGTTTGCCCTTTTTACTTTTTTTTTCAGGGAAGCTGCAAAAGAATGCCGACGAAGGAAGAAAGAATATGTGAAATGTCTGGAGAGTCGTGTTGCAATGTTAGAAGTTCAAAACAAGAAACTTATAGAAGAGCTAGAAACTTTAAAAGACATTTGCTCTTCCAAGACAGATTAGTGTCGATACTGAAACTGTGAACTGAGTACAGCATGTACAAATGCTCCTGAAGAAAATGTCTAGTCAAAAGAATTATGACTTTTCCTTTCTATCATTTGTATTCTACTCCACCTCTAACATTCCTGAAACACTCTGCTGCTTTTTCTAGATTATTAAATGAAACTTCACCTCACTTTTTCTCACCCAGAAAGAGTCAAATATTTTAAAAACACAATGTATGTCCCATGTTTATGGAGGAAGCATGTGTAAGAGCTGCTCCTCCACCTATTATTTGCATTATTTTCTTTATATTAGTATCCCACTTGCACAATATTTTAAATTGATCAAAGATAATCTAACACAATAAAATGAAAACCACCCAAAGTATCTCAGGAAGATGTTATATAAACATGTGCGTTGCTATGACGTATGTGTTTTAGAATACTAGTTTACAAATGAATTTATGGCATATTTTTGTATACATTGCTTTGTTAAGAAAATATTGTATTGCTGTCACTGAGTGCCATGGTTGAAACTACTTTAAATAGAACCATGTTGCATAAACTTTGTAGTGTTTGGTATTTATTTAATCATCTATTCCATATTTTTAAAGAATAAAACTAATGGCATATGCTGTGAAATATTTTATTAGACAATTTACTGTCTCTTATATTTCACAAGCATTCCCCAGAATTGTCTATGGAGATTCTCAGTCATCCAGGTCAAGGTTGTTCCAAAGGTGTTTTTCCCAAAAAGGCAATTGGACTTCCTTGGTTTTTGTTTGAGTATGTTTTGCTTCTCATCCAAGATGTTTCTGTTAAAGCTTTTTAAATCAGAACGGAAAAGGTTTTTGGGATGAGAAGCGAAACGTCTTCAAGCAAAAACCAAGAAAGTCCAGTTGCCTTCTGAAAAAAAGCACCTTTGAGATTCTCCAGAATGATAGCTAACACTAATTTTAATATATATATAAAATCTGATAATACTCAAATCTTAGACTTTTATGTTCTCGGATGAAGTGAGAATGTGCAAAATATTGATATCATGTGGTATTACATGGGTTGGTGAGCTAGTCACCCAATTCTATCATATGTGTTGAGATTTTACATTGTACACATATACTCCCCCCCCCCATTGTTTTGGCAATGGAGCTCAAGATGTTCTAACTGTTTATTGTAATTTGACTTACATCTGTCTTAGCCTGTATTGTGGCTATAGTATAATTTTTATTATCCCCCCTCCCCCCCCTCAAAAAAAGCTTATTTTTTTTCTAGAAACCTTGCACTGTGTGTAGGTGTGAAGGACATCTTGGGAAGCTGTGGCTGGGAAAAGAAATGGTTGTCTATTCTGTCTTTTTGACAAAGTCTCAATGAAGGCAGGACTTCTGATGCTTATTTTTTTTTAGAAGGTAAACATAACTTCATGCTGTCATTTAATGCAATACATATTTGACCAAAAGATTTTCTGAGTGTGGAATAATAGTATGGAGTCTGTGCTGACATAAGCAATTCTTCATGGTTGTTATGAATGATTATAAGGGAGGATATCCTGTTCAGTGATATAATAATACTTCCTTTTACCATGATGTCATACTTAGGCAGTTCTTAACCATTGTAGTCAGAGCAGTTACAATAAATCTGCCAACAAATCTACCCAATGGATCTTTGTTGGGAATAAAGATAATAGGGGAGATCTAAGATGACAAACTATATTGAAATTTATTCTTTCTTTAAAATAATAGTCCAATAAATGGCAAATGCTGACACTTCATTTTTGTGACATATTGGGACAGAAAAATGTTTCTATGCCACAGAGGCTCTTTGTACCTCTTTGTTTACTTTTCAGTGGTAAATAGAATATATGTGTAGGAGAGACAGAGAATTGTGTGTGTGTGTGTGTGTGTGTGTGTGTATGCATATATATGTATGTATGTATATGTGTATATGTGTATATGTATGTGTTGTGTGTATATATATATATATATTTAGTGTCACAGCCCCTGGTATGACCCAATTATGGGAGGAAGCTAACTGCTTCCATTATCTGTCAATCGGCTCGTCACAAGAGTCCATCACGACAGAAACCCAATATTTTTACTGTTGCNCTTATCTGGCTGAGGCAGTGGCAAGCGGAAGCGCGAGCCAAGTGGAGGCTTGCATCCTCTCCCTACTCTGCATCCCTTCTCTTTGGTCCTCCATTGGAACCCCTTCTGGTGGAGTCCAAAGATAAGGGGAAGGTTCTGCAACCACCCATTAAAAAGCAGGAAGGTCGGAACCAATCCTTTTAGCATAGGCCAGGAGGGTAGTACTTCCAACTCCCATCCCCAGCGACAGGCCCCTCCTAGACAAGCCCCATCCTTCTCCTATCAGGCAGGAACAATCAGAGATTCCAGCCCAGAAAGCCCTTCAAGGACAATTCCAACCTTTTCTTTAAGAGGCAGAAGTGACTGCCTGGAGGATCTCCCAATAGGGGGGCGTCTAGCGGCCTTCGTGGATCGTTGGGACGACATCACCAATGATGCCTGTGTCAGGTCCACAGTCAGATTTGGCCTTCTCCTGGACTTGTGCTTCAGCCCTCCGAACCACTTTGTCCTATGTCCTATCTCCAGGGACCCTCAAAAAAGGCTCCTGGTAGAACAGGCCGTTCACCACCTTCTCCAGATTCAGGCCATTCAGCCTGTGCCTCCAGGCCAGGAGGGATGGGGTTTTTACTCTCATCTTTTTATCGTGCCAAAATCTTCAGGGGGCTGGAGGGAAAATTCTCGATCTAAAATTTTTAAATCAATTCGTCAGATACAGGAGATTCAAGATGCACTGTCTCCTATCAATTCTAGAGAGTGTTTGCAGACACGATCTCCTCCTCACATTGAGTGATTCGGAGAACCAGTAGCGGAAATTTTGAATGGTTCGGAGAACCAGTAGCAGAAATTTTGAGTGGTTCGGAGAACCGGTAGTGGAAATTTTGTATGGTTTGGAGAACTGGTAGCAGAAATTTTGTTTGGAGAATTGTCAAATGATACCTCTGGCTGACCCCAGGAGTGGGGAGGGAATGAGGATTTTGCAGCATCCTTCCCATGCCACGCCCACCAAACCAGTAGTAAACAAATTTTTTGAATTTCACCACTGCCAAATAGGTACAGAGGCTTACCTCCACGTGCCCATCCACATACGGCACAGGAGTTTTCTCTGCTTTGTCCATTTGGGTCTCCATTTCCAATATTGGGCCCTTCTCTTCGGGCTGTCCTCAGCCCCAAGGGTTTTCACGAAACGNCCCCCCCCCCGCTTTATAAAAGCCCTGAATGACAAGAGCATGTCTCCTAAATTGTGATCAGATTGTTGGATGATATGCATAAGAAGAAAATATTTTGTTCCATCTGTGGAAATTGGTTTTGCTGATGGAAAAACATAATTATTTTCAGCTGGTTTTTGTTTTGTTTAATTACTGAATGAAGTTGTTGTAGTTTTTGCTTCAATTATTTTCCCTTAGAATGATATTCAGAACCGAAGCACTGCTAAATCTAGAATAGAAGTCTATCCAATTTCCTGTCAGATACAGTAAATTACGGTATCTTTTTTTCAAAAATCACATTCTAATTTAACTCTCTGCTCCGGAGATACCAGCATAATATAATATCCTCATCTGGAAAAAGAATAAAGATGAATAACCATGAAGTAACCACAATAGAAGTGTGCAGTCAAACAACACAGAGATTAAATGGTGTTGTTTTTTTTAGATTTAAGCCAACTTTATTTGAAAATACATTGAAATTCATTCAAATCTTCATTTGTTGGCATCTTTATAGAATATTTATGTTTAGAGATTGCATTAAATTGAGGTCAAGTTTGTAAGATGTTGATTTGATACATTTTATCGGTTCATAACTTGAACCGATAAAGGTGGAAAATAACTTGATTAATCACTAATCAATTCTCTCATAACTTGAAAAAGGTGAGAAATAAGTTGAGAACCAGTCTTCCTCATGGCAGAAATATCAATCATAACAACAACCAAAAGCCAGGTAGTTTAAATTGATATAGATATAAGGATGAAATTCCCACACTGATGAGGACAACCAACTGTTTAGTGTGCCTACAATCTAATTTTTGTAAGTAGTTGAGCAATGCCATCTTGTGGATATAGAAAGTCAAAATATGGGTAACTTGGTATTAATGAATTATGATTTGAAAGTAAAAAACATCCAAGCTTCAGAGTATAATTCTATAATTATCATGTGTCACTTAATTCGTATTGTCTTTTTTCGTATTGTCCTACACTCCCCTTCCTTTTTGATTGTAAGCCGCCCTGAGTCCCCTCAGGGAAAAGGGCGGCCTATAAATAAATAAATANAACTCCACCTCCTCTTTTATTTGGTCTATTTCTTTTAAATAATTTAAATCCTTCTCCTAAGTTGGTGGAGACAGCGGTCATGCATGGGTTAACTCAGTCAGTAACCAATAGAACTGAGTCTACCAAAGTGATGTCATCGGCTCTGAGGAGCATACTCCCGCTTTTCTAGACTCAGTTCGATTGAACTGGCTGTGTTAAATCGCTCTCTCTTAGATTAATTGGTTAAATTTGATGGATTGATTGGGTTTTTAATTGACTTTTCTCTAAATTCGCTTGCAAATTGTTTCTTTAAACTGATTTTCCAGTCTGGGCTCCTCTTAAACTCTCTAAAGCCTCTGGGCTAGAGAGCTTTGGCCGCGCCTCATGGAGGTTAGCCTCTAAAAGCCTTCAGGCTTTCTGCTGGATCGGATTTCAGCAGAGCTTGCTGAAATAGCCGAGGGAAGTCCTAATCCTCTCAGCAGGGACTCCCAGGTCGCTGCCTTGCTGCTTTTGCTGCTAATCGCCGCCACCTGCAGGAGCCTCCAGACACAGCGGGGAGCCTAATTAGAACTGAAGAATTCGCCGGCGGCTGGGGAACGCCGTTCCAGCTCCTGAACTTCACAGTTTGTCGCTCCAAGGACAGCAGCACGCCATGGCATTGCCTCTGGCTCCACAACCTTCCCACAGGGCCTAACCTGCCCATGCTCACCATGAGGCCTCGGCTACCTCGTGGCTCCGGCCCATAGGCTCTGCAGCCTCACTGAAATTGGCGTGAAAACTTCTGGTGGCCATTTTGAAGCAACAAACTAACTGTGAGTAACGGCTATGGCCTCCCCTCCCCGTCCAGAGCCTCAA